AGCCATCCCATCGGCATTATTACACGATGCTTTCGCTGCCTTACTTCTGTAACTGAGCTTTATGTCTTCCAGTTTAATTCCGGTGCATGGGGTAGTCGAGCTGCAATCAAATTTCACTGCTACTTCTGTCGCCGATGTGCCATGAATGTCTTGGTATGTCACACCACTGATTTTAACCCCAGAAGCCTATTCAAGAAAACATTATATATGATGCCATTAGCCATATATTGTAAATCAAATTTGATTCATTTTACTAAAAAAAAAGGTTTTTTCAGTCTGAATTGACATTTTATTTTTCTACTAGTATGAAAATTTAACGAACTTTATTAGGACAGTTTTTGTGATCAGGACAATAATTCTGATCGATCACGATAGGGTTGTCCACGTTGGTCATGACTGCATGTTGGAAAAGAATGCTCTTAGCAAACCCACTGCTTGGTCTTGCCCAGGACTTAATCCTCAACCCATTCTGGGTACCGGTAAACGTCACCGTTTTAACAGTTACATTCTGCACTCCAGCCTCCTGCAGTTCCCATCCTAGACTCCCAATACTGCAACAGAACAAACCCAGAAATCCCATTACAATTTATAAACATGTACTTAGATGCAGAAGTTAGCACTAATTCACGCTCAAGAAGTTATATGTTGTACCTAATTCCATGGCCAGGACCACATGCCACGTTCTCAATCCAAAGATTTGTGGTACCAGGGCCAATTGAGATGCAGTCATCACCTGTACCTATCTTGGAATCGAAGATGCTGACGCCGCTGGACTTCCCAACGTGAATACCGTCAGTGTTAGGACTGTTCCCAGGAGCAGAGACTCTCACCCCTTTCACTTTCACGGTGTTACACCCATCAAAGACGATGTGGAACATTTGGCTATTCAGAGATGTTAATCCACTAATTAGAATGTTCTCTGATCCTCTAAATCCTAGGCTCTGCAAGCACACAGTAAAGCACATTTAGATTAGTAACAAAGTACTGCCTTTGTCATTAGTAGCAGAACTCATATGACTATTATTTATTCATATGTCAAAATTTAATTGACTTGTTACATCACGTCAGATATATAATTATGATATATATTTTATGTAGATTCTTTTATAACAAAACTTTATATATATCATTTTAATTAAATTACCTTTGCGCCAGTAGGGCAGCTCCTGCCGTCCCTCTTGCAAGCCCACAAGTTGGTACCTTGGCCGTCAAGTACCCCGCCGTAGATTGAAACACCGTTTACGTCCTCAAACAAAATCCATTGTTCTGCGTTTCCTATAACCTTGTAATCAAACGGAGCAACTAGCGTGCCATCCATATGCAACACAATAGCATTGTTCTTGCAGGGGCCGCGAAAGATCACGTTTCGTAGCAAGAATCGACCCGGGGGGATGTAGATTGTTGCGGGGTTTGTGGAGCCACAGGCGTGAGTCCATGCAGCCATAAAGGCTTGGGTTGAGTCAAAACTAGGGACTGATTTGGCTCCATAATTGAGCACATTGTAAGTAATAACTGGAGCTGCAAAAGAAGTTGGAAGAACGAAGAAGAGAAAGAGCGGCAGAAAAAGAAGAAGAATCGTTCGTGCCATTTTTGAGTTGATGTAGAAAGATGATGTATTCGAAATTAAGCAAGAGATATAGAGAGATCGAGTTTGATGAAAATGACGAGGTTTCAAGGGGTATTTATAATGCCATGAAATTAATAGAATAAATATGATGCGTGAAAGTTAGGTCCAGATACCACCATACTACAGGATATTAAAAATGGATTTGAAAAACGAAAAATGGATAAGAAGAGCAGCTGCGCCGAAATTTGGAGGAAAGTGATGACGCTTTTGATTTTTAATTTTGAGATTTTCTATACGGGAATGTCCTTGCTTGGCCAGCATGAAAATCTGGATAGTGATGAGAAAATATTGGCATATCACATGTATGTGGGTTAATAAATGAAATTCATGATCTAAGTCGCCAATAATGTTACACAAAACGTTGTAATAACTAATAACGTTACACAAAACCATTGTGTAACTTTTTGAAAAGGGAAAAGGTGATGATGCGCACGTAATCCACAAATTTTTGTTAAGGTGTGTATGATTTCGTTTATTATAACCCTCTTTTGGATGGAGAATAAGTTTATATAAGATTTAATTTGTAGTAATATATAATGGGAGATCATATTAAAAAGTAGATGTAATTACACATGACACATCATACATCATTTCAGGTAGAAAATGATAAAAAATGCACATAAAATTATACAAGGAATGATAAACATAAACCGATTCTAAGACTTATATAAGAAATTATAATTAATTTAAAATAAACCTATGCATTGTATAACTCAAATATGAAACCCCAAGATTCTAATGCATCAAAAAGTCTTAATTCACCGTCCTTAAACTCTTATAAAAGAACAAAAAAAAAAAAAAAACCATTAACTTAGCTTAATTTTGTACTACATACTAATTAAATTAAATAAAGTATTTAAATTGAGCACCATATGAGGTTACAATTAAAGCCAGAAATTGAGTTAATTAATTACTGTACTTTACTTTGCTTTAGACATGTATAAATAATGATGTAAAATGAAATGAAAGTAATTATTTTTGGTACGTTAGATGATAGATTATGCAACAGGAAATACCCCTCTTTTTTTAAAATTCTTTATTCTACTTATTTCATAATTTGAATTTAGATTTTTAACATAAAAATTTAAATTCTTAATTATTAAGATATCTTTTAAGGGACGAAAGCAAAGGTAGTGCATGTGTATGCGCCCTTTGATATTGTTCATTGAATTACATTTTCAGAAAATGCCCAAATCCTTTCGATAGATTTCAAGTTTCTGCGGGCCGCCGGCTATTCATTTTTGTCAATGTGAGTGAAACTAAGATCCCAAAAATAGAAAAATGGGAGAAAAGATTGTCGGGAAAATCATAAGGTTGTGAATGCAGAGTTGCTTTATTTCAAGGTTCCCCTGTTTGGGGCACTAGCTAGTATTTTTCTTTTTCTTTTTCTTTTTCTTTTTTGGACAATTAACCAACTTTGCATGTGCCATGTGCAGTAGTGCATGTAACTATCGATATTGTTGTGTGTTTTGACATTTTACGTCTTGGGACATAATATTGAAGTTTATAAAATTCAAGATTGTCTGCAGGTTTTATGATAAGTAACAAACGCCAATAGTGATCATTTTGAACTCTAGGAATTTGTGGACAACGTTTTATTAATAAAAAATATTTACATACAATAAGAATACGAGGTCAAACATGTGAATGTGTGTTTTGATTTACATTTGTTTTGTTAACATGGGGGAACGTGGGGGAATGGGGGATTTGGCTGCTAGATGGAACTCTAGTAAATATTAAGAGTTTAATGCACGTAAACCAAGATAGCTAAAGTTGTATGTGCCTGATTTACATTTTTTTAACAGAAATGTATTTACTATTTTACATGTTTCACACCAACTATAAATGTTATATCATATTATATAATTTTGCTATTAAGAAATAGGTCAAACTCTTTATTTATATTATGAATATTATTGTTTTTTATAGTCAACACTCTTTAAAATTTTCACTTTTAATCAATATTTTTTATAGTTTAAAACCTGTAAAAAAAAAATTAAAATTAATGATTAGGTCATATGCAAGTCAAAAGTCAAACATGTGAATGTGTGTTTTGATTTACATTTGTTTTGTTAACATGGGGG